GCAGCTTAAACCAGATGATCTCCAGAGGTTCTGGGAGATAAGAGGATGTTGGTATTACATAACTGGCCCTGACTTTTCACCTGACCTTATTCGCTGGACTGCACGTAGCGTAGATGCACCATTTCACCCACAACAGCTGGGTTAAAAGATAAATATTCCCTCACACACCATTTTCTTGAAGTTCTGTCATGCCTTGGGGCAGTGTGATGAAATCTGATTTGTATGTTATTTTAAAAAGCAGCATCAGTATTTCCTTCCTATTTGAAAGGTTGTTATTCTTAGAATGAAGCTAGCATTTTTGAAGAGCAGCCTCAGGTGTAATGAAAATAATTTCTTGCAGGGAGTTAGCATTTGGAGAACAAAGCATGTCCTCAGGCTACAAACTCTGAACTGTTCATCAAGTTTGACAGGGTTAGGGGAAAGCAGTGAATCTTTCCCACATTAATGCTTTCACTCGTTCAGACCTACAGGTGGGTGAAATAAACTTTCAAAGCAGTAGGAGTTTGGGTTTCTTTAAAGCAGCTGTAGTCAGACTTGGGACTGCATGAACATCTAACCTCCCATGCAAGAAGAACAGTGTTGATAAGTGTTACCAGAATTTGTCACCATATTTAAACATTTTGAGTATATAGTCAGGCTTGCACACGCTTGTAGTGATCTGTGTGAGTAGGAACCTCTCAGGGCCACAGTCCTACAAACTGTTCATACTACGCTTATTCTGTGAAAAGCATTAAATGGTTCTCTTAATGATTTTTCAAAATTATGGGCAGTGCTTCTGAACAATTAACACTTCATCTTAAACTTCCTCTGGATAAGGGATATAATCTGATAGAGGCTTATGAATTGCTTTGTAAGTGCTTGAGGCAAAAAACACTAAACACAGTATTGTCTAAAGAACAGCAGAGTTGGTACTTAAAGCTCAGAGAAGGCTGTAGAGCCTCTGAGGAATTGTCTAGGTGTAGGAATATACTAAAATGAAATCTTAATATCAACTGTAACAAAAAAATTGGCTTAGCCACTAGACTAGTTAAAGAAAAGAAACAACCAATCCAAACAAAGGCATCCTGTGGATACATTCCAGTTTTATTCTGCTGCCATAACATAGTCACACTGAAGAATTGAAGTGTAACAGATCATGCTCTGCATTCAAATCTTTTTTTTTATAACATTTAAACAAATCTACTTAAAGAAAACATTCCCCAGTTCTTTATTTGAGGGAATAAATTAAACACCAAAGAAAAAAACACATACATGCTTGAAACAAATTTTAACATAGATATTAAAAAAAAATTAGGGGAACATTAAAGAATGAAGTCTCAGAACCAGCCTGATATTCTTATACATTTCAAATGAACGTAAATTAAAATGGAGCATACTTTATTTACTCCTCAAACTGAAGTGCAGCACAACACACTTTTAAGTGCCTTGGCACCAAAATAATATACAAATAGTTAATAGATTAGGCCATTGGTAAATTTCTCATTTGTTACTCTTTTTTCAGTGCTACAAGTGTGCAGCATCTAAAGCCAAATGTGACAGTATTTGTTCATGTCCATCCCTCTTCTCTAGAATTTCTCTATTTGCAAAGTTGTTGACAGATGGAAAACCCCAAGTACAAATTAAGAGGATGACATCAAGCATGATCACACAAACTTTGGATGCTGAAGTAAACTTTCCAGACTGTTCCTACTTGCAATCTGTTGTGTTTATATGCTGACTGAAGTTTTGACCCCCGTCAGCTGAAGCAGCCATTGAATAATGTTTTGGGCTTGTAGTAAAAAGCTTTTTACCCATCATCAAAAGCTGCTCTCCTAATAATTTGTTATACATGATAAAGCAGGAAAGAAACTTGCAACTCAAACACACAGCTCTTGGCCTGTAGTATATGAAATTAACAAAGTGCAAATGACTACCAAAAGCAAAATTTGATGTCTGATTATCTTTTATCATCAGAGGGCTTTGTCATCTTATAGCTTTTAAATTACAATTCAGTATTTGGAAATACTTTTAAACTGTACATACTAGCATTTATGTAGAGGGGAATTATGAATAGTTACACTCTTCCTATGAATCCACTCAGCTTTAAGAAGCAGAACAGAATATATACCTGAAAAATACCTAGTTATATAAACATCTTCACCTTGTAAATTAGAGATTAAATAAAGCGCTTTAACAGTATCACAGCTGCTCTACAAACAAAATATTACATATCTGAGAAGAACTGCATTTATTCAGTAGGATTTTTCTTAAGGTTGCCTGTTGGATTTTATGGAAAAAAGCACTGTAACTCAAAAAAACGTTTGCTGTGTTATTCTTAAGTGAAGAGACTAAAAGAAGAGAAAAGCCTATGCATGAGAATGGGGGGAAAGAATAAGCATTTATGTTCATTTCAGAAATCATGAGATCTATGAAGTTACAGGAAAGGTGTGAGGGAAGAGATCTAAAAGTGGATTTGAATTTTTTTTCCCATTAATACCATTTTAGTGGAACAGTATTAGAACAGATATCCTGGTTGTGTCTGTCTTATTTCTATTGAAAAATATGTTCTTCCCTGCCCCATGGAAAAGCTACTAGATAGATGTTTAGCCCTTATTAAATTACTCCCTCAAGTTGTTTTTAATAATAAAAGAAAAAAAAACAACCAAAAAACTTCAAGTCAAAGTGCAAGCCACCTTGTTTCAGCCCTTCATGAAAGTGTTAATATTTTTTTCTCATTCATTTTCACTTATTTTTTAATATAAAAGCTGAATGAGCCATGAGGAACTTACTGTCCTTCATCTCCCACTGTGCACTCATAGCAGTAGATACTTCCTTTACTCAGCCCAAATGAATTTGGGAATTTGGTTTCAAAATAATCATAGAAATAAAGTATTTTTAAGCTGTTCTGTTTCTACATGACCAGCAGCACTCTTAGCCTATTATTTTAACAAGAATTTCTCTGAATAAGTACCAGAGAATATTTCAAAGTTTTTAAAATAACATAAAAGCTAATTTTTCAAGTTTTGATTAGCTGTAATAACCTTTCTACGATTGCACTGTAAACTGTTCCAGCTCTCTTAATTAAGGGAACAAACTTCATATTCCAAGGCCCACTTAGTGGAGGCAAAGAATATGGAAAAAAATATTATTCAAAAGGTTATTGATTGCAAGTGGGGAAAAAAGACAGTTGAGTTCCTTCCTACAATAATTCTAGAATTTTTCTAGGCTATTCAGGCTTTTTGGAGCCTGTTTGAATTCCTATGAGCATAATCAACCTGAGAAGTACAGTTAGTGGAAAATTCCCATCATCATTACCAGCTGCCAGCATTCTTAACGCTGCACGTTAACTTTAGTCTTGTTTTAATATGACCTTCTGAAATGAAGGTTCACAATAGCATAATTTGAGCCATACAGAAGAGGACTCTCGACAAAAGTTCTGTTAGTTAAGCCCTGGCCAAAGATTCCAATGTCACTCCTGCTAGCAATACCTTAGCTGGATAAAAGCCCCCACAAGATGTATCATCAGGGCTTACAAGGGGGGTGGGGGAGAAAGAGGAAAAGGAAGATTATATCTTCAGGTACCATATACTATTCAAGTGCCACATAGGTAAAAGGCAGCAATAGGAAACTTGAAGATATTTTACCCACAGAAAACAATTAAAAATCTATAAACACAAAATTTCAGTACTTAAAATGCTGCTATTTTGCTTGCTTCGCGAACCCCACTCAAGTAAGCTCCTGTAACGGTCTGAGGAAAGTGCCTATTTGTGGCCTGTATTTGGGGAAAAAAAAAAAAAAAAAAAAAGAAAAAAGTTAATTGTTTCTAAAACTATTAGAACAGGTAGGACTTCAGGTTATAAGATAAGTTTTGTTTTCTGTAAGCACATACCAACATCTTCAAAAGCCGTGGAAAACTCCTTAGAAAGAATTTCAGAAGAAACACTTTAAATTCTTAGCAACTTCAAAATTTGCAAGCAAGGCAGCTAGCAAAGGCAGCTGTCTGCCCTGCCATCTGCACTTTAGTGGGGCAGGTTAAGTTCTGCTCCAGTACAGAATACACCTAGACCATCATCAGCATGCAATTGTTATGGCATCACTGGCATATTTCTATAACAGGGTATTTATGTACTACCTCTAGATTGATAGTGTTGGTTAGCAGAAGACGATCTGTCATAAGGAACTGTTCCTTGATAACCTTAATCAACAATAACAAAGATACTTACTTCACCAGCAAAAAATATTTTTCCTTGTATATCTTCAGCTATAATGTCGTAAGCTTCGCCAGTGCCCCCTGTTTTCACAAAACTGTAAGCCATCTGGAGCCAAGGGTCATTGCTCCACCGAGTGACAAAAAACTTCACTGGGTCAGGAACCTCCTGCATAATCAAAATGGGAGTTATGTGCTGCAAATAAACATTCATAATTGCATAGGTTTTTCTCATAAACAGTTTCCTGTTATCTTTAGGAGTATGTAATATTATTACAATACAGACAAGATTGCATTCTGCAGCTAAATCCTGATTTTCTTTATTGTACTACCAACCACGGTTTTGCCTGATGCCTGAAACATCACTGCTGCACTGTTCTGAATGCAACAAATCTGCATATTGTAATATACCTAGAAATACCTGTACACATAAAAAGAAAATACCCAGTTTAGGGCTTGCTTTGCCCTAAAAAGAAGACATTATTAATTATTATGTATTTCTTGAAGAGTCTCTTTTAATTGGTATTGCAAAGATATTTTGAGCTGCAAAGCAACTTCTGTTTTAGAGGAAAGTGGGTTTGATTTATGAGAGTAAAGGATGAATATTCTACAGTATTTATGCTCAAATACATACTTAGTAATTAATTAGATTGCCAATATCATAATTCAACAGGTTTCTATGTATAATGTGAGCAATTTTTGTCTTGGTATAACATAATGCTTTGCTACTTCTAGCTTGTTAAATCTCAAAATGCAATCTTCACTGTGGAGGTCATTTTATTCCAATGGGGAAATAAGGTAACTTTGCTAAGATCAGAAGGTGAGCTATCTTGAAAACTAGATTCAGAGGGGAAACAAAACCCAGAAAGTCCTAGTGTCTGTAGCTGAGCTGTGACAGTAATACTGTCTTTTTCACATTGCAGCATGCAACTTGGACACAGTTCTACCCAAAAGAGCCTGGATAACACTTGTATGAAGGCTTAGTCAACTACAGTTGTCTTACTCTTGAGGAGCTTATGGCAAGCAAACAGAAGCACCCCTGGTTGCCTCTTGCACACCAGCTGGTGTCGACAAATTGGGTATTCCATTCAGGCAGCACATGAGAGACTAAACTTCAAGCAATCAATACAATGACTAGCTGAGTATGGCAAGTTTTATGGACATCTCAGAAGAAGTTCTGGTACATCCCCAGAAGCTATTTTGTCTTTGAAAATCCCACTGCATGGTTGTCAAATGACTGAAATTCACAGCTGCTATAAACTACAGAGACAGACATGAAAATCACTTTTCTAGACCAGACTGGCACCCCTACCTCTATGTTCTCATGAGATCAAAGTAAGGAGGTAAGTGAATTTTCATTACATGTGGTTCTGGTAACTTTAAAGCCATTACTAAAAGTATGTTTTCTAGGAATAGTTGAGCTTTCTGATGCCAAAGTTCTTCTAAACCACTAAACCTAACATCTGAACCATCAGTAAAACTTGAGAGGTCACCCCAAATGTTATTAACACAATCATTCCTTGGGATCTAACTGCTCAAAGTAATTTAACTGAGGCATTACTGTCCCTAGAGTGGAATGCAAATAATGTTGCTAAGTGATAGTATTCTGCTTGCCTCAGATTTCTCTGATTTTCCTATTAGCTTTTATCCTAATGATGAGCTGGGGAGAGGAAAAAAGATATAAATTTTTACCTAGTGTGTTTTTACAATCAGGATGTAGGGCCCTTGCTAGATCATTTTGCCTGTATCACCATCCCAAGACAGCTGAGGAAGGGTTGTTAGTTATTAGAAGAGAAATGGATTGGATTGTTTGGGATTGGGGGTGTTGTAATTTCCATTGCTTTGGGGGGGGATCATAATCAAATTCATCTAGCTTAAAGGTTTTATCACATATTAGAAGTGGTGATCAAAAAATAAATGAGGGACAGCTAAGTAAGAAATATATTTGTGTTACCTGCCTAAAGTACTGATTTTAATTATTTTTACTTTCTAAAAGCACTTTGAAGGATGATAGCTCATTTCTGGTTTTCAATTCATTACTATTTTCCTTCAGATAGATCTAAGATACTTCAATTTACATTTTTCGCACAAGAGACCAAAAATTGCATTTTTAGAGTATCTCAAAAAGGAAACATTTTCCCTGAAACTGATAAGAAAACAGTTTGAAATGTCAATGGTATTCCTATACATGACAAAGTACTACATTTGAAAGCTCTATGCCTATGGCATGTTAATTCATCCCTTAATAAAAGAGACTTCTCTTACCTGCTCCTTAAACAGCTCTCGGAGTACAGTCATACACTGTTGCAGGACTTGTTGATCATCTAAATTCTTAATGGTTGCCACAGCATCTCCAGTGACCACTGACATTAAAATGCTTTCTTTGCCCTACAAACAAGACATTATTAAGTGATTAAGCATTTCTTGAAGAGTCCCTTTTAATTGGTATCGCAAAGATATTTTGAGCTGCAAAGCAACTTTTGTTCTAGAGGAAAGTGGGTTTGAGCCCTTAAAGGGTGCATATTCTACAGTATTGATGCTTAAATTACTAATATTCTCTTATTCACAGATCTCTTACAGTCAGCTCCTTTTACAATTTGTTGATTTACTGAAAATTTCCTATCTACCCATTTAAAAGCTATACCAAAAAATTACATTTATAGTGTTATTCTTTATGAGACCTCTTAAGCTCCAGTTCTGTGCCAAACTTATTCCTCAACTGTACTGCATTTCCAAAAGATGGCAAAGAGAATCTACTTAAATACTAGTAGATATGATTTGGATTAGGCCAATACTATGTTCTTACTAGCAGATTTTGGACCAAGAAATGAAAGGTCAGGACTACTGGTACTTCCTTTTACTTCAAGTCACCTGCTACCATGCAGAAGTTTTAGAGGTGAAGTGGTGACAATGGGAGAGTACACAGATTCTCAATTCCTTTAAAGAACTCTCCCTCTTTTCATTATATAAAGCAACTCTTCTGTTCCTAAACTTGATAACTAGCAGAAAGTAGCTATCAAGCAAGTTAAGAACTGTATCTAGTGTCTCTGGACAGCTCCAGCACACTGAACCTCGTGTACAATGAGCTTAAATGTACTGGAGACAACTCATTTAAGCGAAGTCCTACACAGGTACAAACAGTGTAGTAATAGAACACGGTCTTCACAGGGTGGTTTCCTTTTGGAGTAAGACGTAAGGTTACAAAATGGCGTTTTAATTGCTGCCAAATAGTAAGCAGCAGTTGTTGCAAAAGCATGAAAGGTACAAGATAAATGTATAATGTGTCTGCTTGGAAGTGGTGGGGAAGAGAAACATGATGGCAATGCACTGGTTTGAATTTGGTTTGGGATTCCTAAGTTTGGGACTGACCCTATGGACCTGAGTTTCATACAAAACTTGGTGTTTGTCTTCTGCTATTCCACATAGTTATTTAGGCTACTGCAAGCCATTAAGTGGTAGTTAGCCAGCATGATCTTTTTAAGAGGTTTTTTAGCTGATTTAAGTAAGAGAACAAAAGTCTTATACTGGAAGTGACTGGTAGACTTTTTCTCACATTAGTAGATATATCTATAGTAAGGATCAGGATAGTTGAAAATATATTTGGCTTGTATATTACTTTGTATTCAAACAAGGGAAAACATTCCCATTTATTACAATGAAGTAGCAATCAGCTTTTTCTTGATAAATAGCACTGCTTCCACTGCTTTTAACAGTTGGAGAGGTGGGGGGAAAAGAAAACTTTCATTGTTCAGTAGTTATTGCACCTAGACTCCAAGCTGAATTTCTGAAGGGACAACAGAAAATACAGAGAGCATATCATACCTCTGAGTCCATGTCATAGAAAACACTAAAGAGCCCGCGTTGGCTGGAATTGGGTGGAACATGACCAAAAAAATCAGCTCCTTGAATTTTACTGTCCCAAAATCTATATGGAAACTGCAAGGCAATCTAGAGAGAAAGACGGAATTAAAGCATTTTATACCACAAAACTCGTAACAGGATATAGTATATGTTCTTCTAATTCTTCTTTCTGATTCCACTCATTTAGAGACACAGTTCCATGAAGAGGTCTCCACAGAGACTATATGGGCCTATCCTCCAAGGGGGACAGGCAAATTAAAAAAATTCTAATCTTATAAATTGCCCATGCACAGACTATCAAATTCGCAATGGAATTCATTGTGTATAATGCTCCAGAAATTCAACAGATTTTTTTGCAAACCTAATGTAGGACTTAAGCAACCTCCATCCTGTGCTGGGAGTTTCTGAATCTTGCCTTTGAATGTCAACATTGTTATAATCCTGTTCTGGCATTACTCTATTGCTGTTTTGCTCTAAGTACATATCTTATTAGGGATCTTTTCAGGAGAGGCACTGGGAAACAGTAGGAGATTTTACACTGGTCAAATACACAACTTCTGGTATTCTTCAGAAATAGTTTGTGCATTTATTAGGTTAAAAGGACCTGAAATAAGCATATTATTGGAATTTTGGAAGGTTGTTAAAGCTTGCTCAAAATTAGGCACAAAATGTTTAAGCCATGAAATGATTCTGCAAACAATTTCTTTAAAAACACCATTAAATTGGGAAATCTAAGAAATAGAAATACATGTAATCCCTGACAACATTTTACTTTTCTGGGCTACAAAACCAAATGCATAATAAATCCTGAGAAATGCACTGCAAAAGCAACAGGGACAAAACAGCCAATGTTTCTATGAAAAGAAAATTAAAGATAATCTGAAATCACTTACCTTCTCAATGACTCCTGCTCCCAAACTATTAATGGCTTTAATTTTTTTTTCTGACAGTGAAGGATTAAACTGAATGGCATTTTTCTGAAGAAGGGACAGTGGTACAGTCACTAATACCTGAAAGAAATAGTAGCAAAACCTGAATACTGCTCTTCAGCCTCACAACATCCTCTTAACTATCTTGGATTATCCTTGTAGGATGCATCATAACACTGACTAGACATTTCTAGATTGGTGTCTAGTTTTAGTTCCCATTAATGGGCCTTACATTCAGGTGACAACAGATCCTGCAGTTCCCTGATTCTAAGTTTTAGTCCTTTGAATTGCTTGTGTCAGAGTGGCTAACCATGCTATTGATACTTCCTGTAAATCGTAGGCGATGGCTCTCAGATTAACAAAACTGTCTTTAGGAGAGGAGGTCGTTACTAAGGTCATTGTTTTGGTTTGGTTTTAATTCCTTCACAGATCCCTTCTCTTTAAAATACGCTCAGTAACAGTGTTGATGTCAATCCAATCTTTATCAAAACTACTAAAAGCTAAATTACTCTGCATGGAAAAGGTGGGGATACAGGGAATAAGGGAGACTGAGAAATATAGCTTGTCAAATCCTGCATACCAAAGTGGAAATTTTAACAGGGCAGATTCACATGCTAAATGGGGTAAAACTGAGCAGGGAGTGGAACCAGATAACACAAACATCACTTCAAAGACCATATAAAAATCTATTTGCTTCACATTTTAGTACTACCTTTGTAGTCCTTAGTTCTTCAAATCATCTAGTATTCAGAACTCAAGGATGCTCACTGACAGTTAGGCTGTAGGACACCAAATACACAAGTATTCATCTTTGAGTGGGAAGAAATTGGACTCAAGTAGTCTTTTGAGAGTTAAAAATAGTCTTCTGAGAGTTAAAAAAACCAAAACCAAAAAGGACACGTAGTGTGTGTTCCCTGCAAGGCTTAATCTTGAAGCTTATTGGGTACCTTTTGTGTTGTCCACACTGTTCCATCTGCAGTAGTGACCTGCACTTCTTCACCAGAGTAGTCAATACTCTGTACCTATTGAAAGACAAATTGAAAGAAGATTATACTACAAAATGTAAAAATGCAATGCAAGTTCCAACAAGAGCAGCTAATATATCATCCGTCTGCAAACTAGCAAGCGAAGATCACAAATTTCCACAGAAATACCAAAAGAAAAAAAATAGCCTCCATGGAAGCTGAAAAATGTTAGAATCATGATGGTTTTTCTATCATCATATTGTAATATTTAAGTACTGATAGCCCTCAAAGAAGATTTAAAAAAATGCTGAAATTGTCCTTTTTTTTTTTTTTAAAGATAAATTGAAATAATTGCAAATATGTCCAAAATAATACAAACTTATGACTGGGTGCTTCAAAGCAATCCAAGACAGGCACTGCATCAACACTTTCCAGACTCACTGGGAAATTCAGCCGGATGTCCAGCCCTTCTGCCAACTTTTCAATCACAGTTGAATATCCCACAGTTAGAAGAGTGTGATCTCCAGCAAACTGGGCAAAAAATTCATTGTGGTCCCATGAGCGTGCAGATACCTGTGGACAGAACATAACTAGCCGTTTCTATTGGTGAGGGGACATGGGTACTAGCAGAAGTCCCACAGTTTAAAAGGAGCCAACCCTAATTCCCCTCACAATTGGGTTAAAAATAGTGTATCGCCAGAATTTATAGCAACACTGACAAAAAGCAAATGGTTTATTTACCTAATGCTACTATTGAATATAGGAATTACTGGATTAAGAAAGTTCCCAACATGGGTTGGTCACTAGGAACTAATTTATAGTTCTGCTTGGTAGAGAAAACAAAGGAAAGTAGTACAACAATCCAGGAGGATTGCAGTGTAGTTATTTCTGTTGTCTGTATCTAGCAAAAAAATCAGATTTTACAGCCCTAGAACTTAATATAAAAATGGAAATACCTTATTTCCTAACATGAAGGGGAAAATAAGGTAGGGAAAAAAGGGAGGGGGGGGAGGATTTTTCTGTCACTTTGGAGGTTCTTCCATGATACCTTTCATCGACCTTCTCCCCTGCTAACTCATACTTAGTAAAACAATGGTATTTGCACTAAGCATTTGCCACTTAGCAGTGAAAAATCTGAAACAATTCTCAGACTCCTATTTGGATGCCAATTCCTATCCCTGCAGTTGCATTTACTCCATATTTTCAATTTAAAATTCAAGGTAAGATAGATTTCCACATCTTTCTTACTTCCCCTGGATGCTTGTGAAGTGCAAACACTTGACATATCAAAACATTTTCCACTGACTGCCCTGGTGTAGAATAGTCTTGCAGATTTTTGTTATGTTCTTCTCAGTTCAGATCAGATTCGTGCACCTGCACATACCAGTCAGTTGTCCCACTGCCATGGTACAATTGACCCTAAATGTCTTTAACCATAGCAACAGGGATTGAGTAAATAATGCACTGCAAACAACATCATACTTTGGTATTTCCTGAAGCTGCTTGGTTAAAACTGAAGTCGTGAAGAAAGCCAAGTGTCCCACAGCCAACAGAATACCTAGGAGTGGTGAACTGGTGCCCACCGTCAGGGAGATGGAACACTTCAGAAGTTAAATGCATTTATTCTCAAGATACCTAGCAAGGTAGAGAAATACCTCAGTTTTTAAACACAGAACTGAGAAAGCAGAAGTCACACACAACATCTGAGGAGGAGTAACTCTCCTGTGAATCTGTCACCCAGCATCTCAGCAAAATGCTCTACTCCACTGCACCACCTACTCTCAACTTCTGCATTAAAGAGAATCTCACTGGAAGCTCATCATGAACTCCCATCAGATTACCTAAGGCGGTGCTGGAGTCAGTGTCTCAGTGCTTTTAAAGAACAGGTTAGGGATGCAGGAACAGTTTAGGGATAGCTGATTCTTCCTCTAGGGCCATGGAATGCATCAGGTGCCTTCTCAATGTTGCTTTCAACCCTATCTTCTGTGAAGCTCAACCACTTCAAAACACAGCTGTCAAAACTCACCTGAGAGAGATTGCTGCCACAGGCATACTCCAAATTACTGAGATGGAACTGCAGCACTTTTTCTTCCAGCTCACTGAACTGGATACCAGATTCCTGAATAAAGGCTTTATAGATCTCTTGTATTTTTTCTGTGAAAGAACATGTTTAAAATAAGAAAATATCACAATTTGTCAGAAGTCCTGCTGCATTTCAACACACTATTCTCTGGATCACAGGATTTTCAAGCTTATTGCTAACTTGTACCAAGGTGTTTTTCTGCTCATAGTAAAGAACAAAAACCACAAGATCTTTGCAGTGATAAAGTACAAGTCTGTTGTTTAATCATAGGTTTCCCTAATAAAATCTTGTTCAAGAAGAAAACATATATAGCTTCAGGAAAAATAGAGGTTAAAATTATTTTTAAAGAAATATAGAAAAAAAGAAAAGAAAAAGAAACATACTGTGCAACAGCACAGCTGATCTAGCCATTTGAGACTGGAGAGAAATTTCTTAGCTATCATCAATACACAGTTGAAGGTATTTGTGGTAAAATACACTTTAAGATAATGGAGGATCCTTGCAAATAAATCCTGATTAATTTTTACAAAATCAAAATCGCTGAGAAATTTGATCCAGAGCTCACTGAAGAACATAGGAGTTGCTAATTCTGCCTTGCAGAATCCATGCTGCAGAGATCTGGGAGTCAGACGTTTCTGGGCAAGTTTATTTTTTGCTGTTAAGCTTGCATGCTGTAAGTGTGGTGGGAGGTGTTACCAATGGAGATGGGACTATTCTTGCCAGCAGAAGGCTTTGATCAGGTTCTTTTTTAGGCTGATTAGTCAAAAAGTATAGGAGTTATGGCTAGCTCTGGCCTGCTTCAGGCAGAAGCAAGTCTTTTGAACTGGTAGTGCCATTAGTTATACTGAAAAAGCTCCATCGTGAAAACAAGATTCTACACCAGAAGTATTTATTGGATTTAAGGTCAGATGTACAGCCACACATCACTAAAATGTCTGATGTAAGGGCCAATTTAATATAAAACTCTATAAACACAGCCAGCATCTTCACTTTGCAATACATTTCCCACTTACCACCAAGAGGAACATCTTGATATTGTGTTTTATCTTTTCTCCACTCAGAGACGACATCTAGGATGGCATTGAAATGAAAGTCCATACGTTTATCAATAGTGGGATCTGTTATCCTTCCACCTTCCTGGATCAAGTCACATTTCTCCCCTAGTTTGTGCATTTTAATGCCAAGCTTAAGAAAAAGACATTTTATTGCTTTTTTAAGTATGGAAAAACTACAGTGCCTAGCCTGCTCAAAGTTATTTAAAGTAAGGTGAATCCCTCAGATTTAAGTGATATCACTTAAAACACATCCACAATTTTAAATAGTCAGATTAACTCTTGTTCTCCAAAAATTGGAATATCAACAATCCTTCTGTCTATTAATTATCCTTTCCTTTATTGGGGATTCACAGAAACCTTATCTCCAACCTTCCTGTCAGGCTAGAGGCTAGTACAGAGATGTTGGGTCTGGTAATGAAACATGAAGAACCCGTCTCCTTTATTTCTACCTCACCTTATTCTCTCAATCACGATTAAAATCAGCTTTTTTCTACAATTTTCTGGTATCTGAGGCCTAAACAGTTCCCTGAATTAAGGAATTGCCAGGATATTGCTTGCCAGTTGCCACCTATTTTATAAACAACCAAGCAAAGAAAGAAATTACTTGGAATTAAAACTAGTACCTTGCTTTGTTTGTCCAACTTGTATCAAACACACAAACAGAGCTCAATCAGAATAAAGATGCTTTTATGTTCTACAGAGTCAGTCCAAAGAAAAGAGCACAAAGACAGTGCTAATTTCTCCTAGGGCCTTGTTACTTTGGGTGCACTCCAGTGTCTTTCACATGTCCTCACATCTCTCTATGCTGTTGGTCACCACTGCAGATCTCAAGACACAGTTGTACTTTAAATGAAAAATGACATCAAATGACCACAAAGGGATGAGTGCCCAGGGTGTATTAATAAGTCATTGTTCCTCACCTCATAACTAAAAGATGATTTAAAACCCCACAAAATTTCCTCATGACACTACGGAGCACTAAACAGTTTAAACAGCATGGGCTGGATTTGTGTGTCTGAACAAAATCCATACTCAGGTTTCACTTGGAGAAATTCAGCTTCTTGCCCCCCAAAAAAGCCCAAACCAACAAAAAAATATTTTTTTTAATTAAACTGCAGTATGTCTGCATCAGTAGTTATTAGACATACTAATCTTAACTTGTGCAGAATTTAACTAGAAATATCAAGGCAGAGCAAGGGCAAGTCCATCACAGATGTATTTCAACAACATCGCAATAACCTTTTGCAGTAAAGCCTCTCTCAGCCCTAAGGAAGTCTGCTGGGAACCTTTTACATTACTATCTCAAAAAAGGGGAAAAAAAAGTGGTTTCTTCTGGTTGTGAAGCTGGAGCCACCTTATTTTTCTTTACATAATATGCTTCAAACCATTCTACAGCTCTTCTCTTTTCCTGACTGTTATCAAAGGTATAATAGCAACATAGAGTTTATTTACAATGCAGAACAATGTTTTAATCATGTCACAAAAAAAGGACTTCCACCCTGACCCAGCCTGAACCTGGTTTTAACAAGTTTTTCACTAGTGATAAGGCATGACCACTGCAGGGAACCCACTTGCTCACACATTAGTGCCATCGGGTTGTTGACACATCCATTGACAATTTGTGCACCTCTTCCAACAGTGACTCCTGTGAATGTCTTGTCATCCCACACTCGGCCACCAATTCTGTCTTTAGCTTCTAACACAGTGACCTATGATGAGATGCAGCTTAGTAAATGGTAAGATTTAAGTATATTAAACACATCTGTTCCGAGCAAAGAACAAAACAAAAAAACCCAAAAACCCCCAAGCAATCGAGCAACGCTAATAATCTAAACAGTTTATTTTCATTTGTGGATCTTTCTTATTTCATTTATTCATTTAAATTGTCTTTTGAAGGTTACCCTTTGGGATATACACATACAAATATAACTGTTACTTTAGAAACAACCCTTACAAAAATTACCCTTCTTTTTCAAAAAGCTAAAGATGTGTTCAGGAAATCTCAAAACTGGAGTTTTGAGCAGGCTACAGTCTATGAAACACAATGATCTGGATGCAGTGTCTGTATATAATATATGCTGCATTCTTTGTTGAATTTTAGTACCAATAAGTGCTGGTTTTAAACAGCAGGTTTACTCAGTAAAAACTCACATTTTACAGGTTAATTAGGATACCCTCTACATAAATATTTTTAACGGGAACATAGTTGTTTTTTCATTTTGATGAAGAACACTTTCAGAGCAGAGGAAGTCTGTTTTTTGTAAGTAATGTACTCCAGAAGTTTCTTACCTTAATTCCAAAGTTGTGCAGTTGTCTGGCTGCTGCTAATCCTGCTGCACCAGCCCCAACAATAATGACAGATTTCTAAAAATATTAAAAGATTTAAATAAATACAGTTAGAATTAAAATAGAAATGATCATTGCACTCTTTATTTTTCTTTTCTAAAGTTAAAAATACCTGTAGGTTTCAGAAATCTAGGCTCTCTTGTCCTCTAAAGTAATCCATGATAACTTTTAAAGATGACAGTGCATTTCATATGGAAAAAATAGTCAATTGTAGCTTTGAAAATTGTTAATTTAAGGACTTTAAAAGAATACATCTCAGTTTCTTTTAACAGAAACAGCTGAAGTTACCAGTAACAAAAGTAAAAAATCTAACAAGTTGCCAAACAAGAAACACACTGTAATGATTTCAGTCACACATTGGTTTGACCAGTAAAAACTATTTCATAAATTAAAAACACAGACAAATGAACTCTCCAAATGTAAATCAACTTACAATTTCTAGGAGATAATCCATTACACATACATTAATTTGCTCAGTTTTGGGTGCTGCCAACCAAATTGCTAGTCATAAACATTACCCTTTAATCATAGTTCTTGCAAGCCAACATAGAATAGAAGTTTCCTCACCTATGGAAGCAGAGGTGTATTACAGGGTTAAGCCACAAGAGGAACCTAAGCATATTGTATATTTTTCACAGAGTTCATATCCATCTGACCAGCTCATAAGAAGCACAAATCCAGAAGACAGAATTCTATAGATTTTAGTGGGGAAAAAAACCCTTGTTGAGGAGAGTCCAAAGTCTCTAATTTCCATAACCATTGAAGGCAGATGAGAACAGTGTGAAACCCGTGCCATATGTTTGCTTTTAGATGTAATTTTACCTATCATTCCAGCCATTTATGTAAAGGAGAAAAAATCCAGAACCAAAAAATGTTTACTTGTGCCATGTAGTTTTATAGCACTAATAATATAGGGATTATTACAGCAACTTACATTGTGGTATTTCTTAGGAAGAAGGTACTGGTCAGAACTGACTGACAGAATCCCTGTATTAATTAGCCCTTTCCTGGTCATAAAGTGAAGGATCCTCTCCATTTCCTGTACACAGCGAATGCGCACGAGCCCCCGAACAATGATATGATGAATACATTTTTGAGGGGTAAGAGCTTCCTGCAAAGGAGAAACAAAGACTAGAAACTGTGGATTTTCTAATAGGGTTTTATTTTTCATGTGTTTATATTATATTTAAACTGTAAAGCAGATGGTAAAAATTCATCGTGAATCAGGCTTCTGGGAGCATTTTAAAAGCAATTTTTGTGAAAGTTTCTTCCTAGCCAGCTTTGCACAGTCAGGTAACAATTTATTAAGAGAGATTAACATGGAATGAAAGCAAATGAGTCTACAAGATACTCTCACAAACTCGATGGTGTGTTCCATTAGTACAGGAATGGTATTGAAATGGATTCCTGTTTGCAAAATGAATCTACCTGCTGGCAATGCTCACAATGACATTCCAGTAAAATCCATTCCAAAATGGCATTCCAAGTAAAAAATAGATTAATATCCAAAACCTTCACTTAAATGCAGACATTCATGTCAGAGAGGTTCAATATGTGAAATTTCAGCAATTCTACTGAAGACAGTGTTGTGGAGTTAGCCTAAGTACGAAGACAAATCACTTCCCTATCCAACAGCCATGTGGAAAAAAAGAATCGTAAACCACCCACACTGTTTAGATGTGTTGAAGCATCCCTTTTAGAAGTTAATAACTGGGCAGACTCAACAGAGCTTTAATACTTTAAAAACTTTTGTATTTTACTGCGAAAGAAGCTCCTATGCATTAAAACTGAAAAAACCTCCACAAAACTAGAAAATACCCCAACGAGCAAAAAAAGCCCAACCCAAAAAAACAACCAACCAATATCAAAAATCAACCCCCAACAAAACCCCAAACCAGTCAATCTTAGAATGCATTTTCAAAAATATGGGAGCAATTTTTTAAGCCGTCTAATAAGACAATTGGACTAATAAGTCCAATCCCTAAGAAGAGGGTACACATCCCCCAAAAGCTGCTGTTATTTTAAAACAAAATTAACCATCAGCATCTCTTACCTTGCAGTTTGTGTACCACAGTGCCAAGATGAGGTTTCGCAACGCCAAGTACATGGTAGGGTCTCTTGAATATTCTGGGAACTCATAGAGCTCATCCAGTTCCATGACATCTGGCCTCACACAAAGTGCTTTCCCACATTCATTGGGCTGGTAGAAAGGCTGGAAATACTTGTTCATGCCTGCAACTGAATAAAGACACACCAAGAACGAGTCATAGTCCATCATATCTTCATCACATCCTTTTCCCTCTAAGAGGATCCACTGACCTTACACAGATAAATAAGTAAGGAAGCTTTCCAGCCTCTAGCCACCTCCAGAACGATTCCATTTATATTGCTCTCCTCTCTCCGGCCCTCTAGGCTGTACAGCATTAATTATTGTCCTGCTACCTGAAGGGTGTGCCTTGGACCTATCAGAGCTTAAGTTTTGCCACAGAAACAGTATGTACATTCCAATGCCAATAGGAGTCTAACAAGGAATAGGATCTAGATTCATGTCTGAGGCCCAACATCACCGCACAGGCTAAGGCAGCACTCTGAACCCCTTTCTTCTTCAACTCCCAATACTGCATTGGGAGAAATAAATATCTGTTGAACAGATGAACAGATTCATTTTCAGCACTTAAGAGGAACAAAGTCTGCTAAGATAACACAGAAGCTGAACTTCCCTCAAAGCACTCTCTCTGAGGTGAGTATGAGAATCCTGAATTACCTTTCTCCATATCTGACCTATTCTGCAGATCTGCACTCCCAGGCTTTCAGACTCAGAGCTGTCATGAGCGAAGAAAAAAACCTAAATACAATCTGACTGCCTTAAGAAATCAAATCCTTTTCTCCAAAGCCCCAAAGATCCACAGTATCAAAAAGAATCATGGGGTTTCTTGATAAGTCTTCATTTCCTTAAGAATGCAAACAGTGTTTAAGTAACCACATGCTAGTTTCCTGTTCCTGTAAACAAATGACAGGTGGTGCACAAAGAGCCTGTGCAGTCTGTGCTTACTCCCTGAAGAAATGCTGTAGGAAATTTATTACCTTTATCTTAGAAATGAGTAAATGGTATCAAAAGGTACCGAGGCAGTCGCACAGAGTGTGCGCGTTAATGCTGAAAACAGAACCAGTATTCTGAATCAGAATCATGTGCCTTATAAACTCAGTTATAAGACAAAATTTATCACACCTATTTAAGCACCAGAGCCCTGCAGATGGCCCTTACCAGTCAAATTAGGCACGCTCTTTAAGTGCTCTAACTTCACAAGGTTGGATTCACCAGGTAACCGATTAGTGCTGGTACAGGATGGACTCATGCCCACGCAGTCTGGATAATATGCAGCTAGAAAGGGAGCTGCCACACTGTCTTTCAGCAAAGGAGGGAGTATGAGCATGGAGTACCACCAATGGTCTGAAACTTCAGCCACTCTCTGGCCAAGCGGAGAAGTGAAGGAAAGAGGGGAGAAGAGAACACGTCAGTACTTTGAAAACGTCGGATAATGAACCAGTTTCCCCCCTCCCTCCAAAACTGAGACCAAAAAGCATTAGAAGTACCAATCTCAGAATTGCAAGTCATGAAGACATTTTCTCTCCCTCTTTCCCCTTCCTCAGCCTGACACAGAAAACCTGTAATATTGACTTCCTCCTCAGAAATGGAGATGAAACTTCACAAACTCCACACCCACGTGGAAAGCAAACAGATGGGACATGCCATGACAACACATCTGTGCCTTACCAGGCCCTTTGTAAAACATTTATAGTCATTTATGCATCCAGAAATCTGAACTTAGAAAAGTCTACACTAACCAATCAATTTAATTCAGATTCTGCTATCCCCATCGAAGACCTTCCAAAACCCTAACAAATGCTAATGATGCAGCCTTAATTTACAAGTCAAACATGCATTAAGGAAACAAAGCCACAAAGCTTCTACAAGAGCCTACAATAAGCTTGAACGTGTTTCCTGGGACAGAGGTACCTCAGGTACACTTGTCAACATTGGCTTATTGAATATCCGATCATCCGAAATCTGAACTGCAGGGCTGCATTAGCATAAACCCCTTGAAGCACCAACATATCTTGTATGTACATTTTGTATTAAGAGGGAGAGGAGAGAGAAAACATGTTTAGGTGTTCTCTTGCAGTCTTCAAAAAGAGGAGACTAGCTTGACTAAAGATAGAAACCACCTGAAAGACAGGGAAATTTCAGGATAGGGAATTTCATGTGAAAGCTGGCAATGGAATACTGTTTTGCCTGATCGAATACAAGAATTAGGAGTAAACCTTGGATCACATGCCACAGCTCAGAAGACACCACAAACCACCTGAAAGCTAACGGTAAGGGTAAAGAGGAAAAAGATGAGAAAGCAGAAGGCCCTAGGCTCTTTTGCAAATAGTGTCTGACAGTTTCCTGAACAAAACGCATAAATACTACTTTAACTGACCAAAGGACCAAAAAAAAGAAACCAATGCTGTGCTCTAAGATTGCTTCCACATTCTAGGGCAAATGAGGAGGAACAGCTACTACTCACCAAGTCCTCAGGCATGGAACACTGGTCTGAGCCCTCAGCCTGAAAGACAGATGAATGGTATCAGAGATATTCTGAAGCTGTATAACAAAAATTAAATATAAAGCAAAATAATTTCCTATGGCATAGTTCTTTAACCTTAAAAAAAAGTGTTAGTGATAGCCTTCTGTGGCAGAGATGATTGTAAAAAATAAATAAATACAGAAATGTATAGGGAAAATCCACAACACACCATAAAGCAAAAGCACTCTAGAAAATGTTTTGCATTTGTTAAGTTACTTTCTACTGACCAGACATTAAAATATACATTCTATTCCATTAAATGGGTGGAGCTGAAACAAATGACAAAAAAAAAATACAGTTTTCTATAAAAGGTCTGGAAATATCCCACATTTTCCACAGCTGCTCTTCCAGTCTAGACTGTAAAAGAGAGTTACTCATTTATTTTAAGAGTATCTTTCTCACCGAGTTTCAAGATGAAATGCTGACCCTCCAGATTTTCATATGGCCAGTATTTTCATGTTATATTTTGTCATGATATAAGTACCATATAGATTCTGTGGCACTTGCAGAACTCTTTGAAATTTCAGGAGTTATCTTCATGCCAAAGCTGAAACTTTTCATGTCAAGTCCCAGGACAGACTTAATAGAAATTAAGAAAAGCTTATGGAGCTTTTCAAATGCTTTCATCAATAAGGAAGAAAGGCCAAACAAAACTGAAATAAATGTTTTGGTGTGTGCCTATTCTGTACATGCTGATAATCTTTCCATAGCTTCAGAATGAAGGATTTTACAATTGACTGTGCAAAGACATTTCAGATACTTCTTTCTTGACGTTTCCAGTCAGAAAATAAAAAGTCCGAACAGCATGTAGGCCTGTCACTGTGCAGCTCTCCAGGCCATCAGACTATCATTTTGACACTAGAGACACTAAGCAGCAATCAAGAAGAAATTAATTTCTGCAAACAAGAAATGACAACTTGTTGTTAAGTTTCAATATGAGCAAAACTCTTTTGTTACCTTGGTGGAATTGTTCAGTTTCATACCACATCTGTAGGTTTTTGCTATTTGTGGCGTCAGCTGGATTTCCTTTGTCAGCTGACGCCATTTACCACAGTCTGGCTTTGTGCACTGCACCTACAGGTCAAAAAACAAACATGTTTTTACGTGTTGCTGTCTGATTACAGATAAGATTAATGAAATTTAACTAACCAAATAGAAAGAACCCAGATGAGAAAGTTGTCAAATAGAATGTAACAGTTATTTCTCATGTAATCATCAGGTTCTCAGTAAGACATTTGATACACATAAACCTTGTGTCTATTTCCTGCAAGACTGAATTGCTGCATGAAACCTCAGGCTAAAATGGTTTTCAGTGGATTTTGCAGGCATTACTGCCAAAACATATTGTTTACCACTTAAAGGAAAAAAGACTAAAACAAAAAAAACCCAAACCAAACACAAAAACCTCACAAAAAAACCAAAACCAAAACAACCCCATCACTACCACCAAACTCCCTTCCATTCCTGTTTTTCTTCTTATGCTCTCTTTACTAGGGAAATGCAACATCCTTTTTCGACATCTTTCACAATTGTACTTTCCTATAGTTTGCATGCTCCCCTTTCCCTCTCAAATCTTATTCTACCAAATCTTATTCTACCTGAACATCACACATCTTGACTGCTACTTCACTGAAAAGTAACAGAAGGTTGGTCTTTGCAGGGTGTGGAGAAAGTTTCCAACATTGGAAGAGCTGATCAGATCTTGAGCTTTTCCACAGTTCTCTAAGACCAGAAAAACCCCACAAAAACTCAGCTGACCTGCTGCCTGATCAGCAGAATATCAGAAACACATCAGAATATCACAGCCCTATTAAATAAATCACCTTTCATCTTACCCAGTAAGGAAGCTGTTGATCAGCCATAAAGGCTTTTGGACTGGGTTCACTTTTACCATTACTTGTCCAAATCCTTTTCCAGGCAGTATATTTATCATAACCATCTTTATGGCTAAGAAGAAAAAGAAAATAGAAGAGCAAGCAGTCAGAAGACTGAATATCTAGTTCATTTCAAGGAACATTTTATATAAGGACAGAGAAATAAGGTTGTAGAGCATCCTGTATTTTTCCTGTCAGAAGAAGGAGAAAGTCATGGTTCTTACAATTGTAGTAAATTGCATCCTGTCCATTATGTCCTCTTGCTCTTGAGCATACTTCCCGGTATCTAAGGCCTGCACTGAGTCATGGGTACTGCTGAGTATATACGTACCCAAAAGTCTTAGCAGAGCTGGATGTAACTTACACTCAAATGAGAAAAGCTTGGAGCTGAAAGCACTCAGTTAGCCTGACGAGTCTTCACAGTCACTGAACTGCAAGAGTTAAATCTCCTTGCTGATTTGATGTTACAGAGAGGCAGTCTCCTGAACTCACATTATAAAGTTAATTTGTAAAGGAAAACACTCAGTTAGCCTGACGAGTCTTCACAGTCACTGAACTGCAAGAGTTAAATCTCCTTGCTGATTTGATGTTACAGAGAGGCAAAGTCTTCTGAACTCACATTATAAAGTTAATTTGCTTTATAAAGGAAAACAGATTTACTTAAAACTCTTCTCATAATTTAAAGTTTTCTGATGCTGTTTTAAAAAAAGACAAAAGCTTCAGAACAACCGCACACACAAACCAGCCTGCCTAAAGTAATCAGTTTTGTTCACACTGCTCTGTTTAAGTTGATTAGTCCATAAAACACCTGCAGTTTTATCACCAATATCTAAGTCACACTCTGAAAAAGCAAGCACAGAGGACAAGGCTTTGTATCATGTTTATGTGCATGATGTTTCAACAGTTGTAGCATCTGCCAGATTTTAATAAGCTTTGAAAAGGCACAATCTTAATTGGCAAATTTACCTTCGATAGTAGTGGTCAAAACATTCATTGCAGAAGTGTTCCCCACAGGAAAGATGATACCATCTAGACGTGTACCCATTTTTAGCACATCTGTAGTGTAGGAGACATAGAAATAGTTTTACAATACATTTAGGAAAAAAATCTTTCTACTGACAGTAGCACATTCTAGAACGTGAACAAAATATTCAGAGCAAGCTAGAGCTTCATGTTACGTTCATGAAGGCTGACTTGCACAAGGCACTACAGTCATACAAACAACAATAAGATCATTTCAATTGTCTCAAACATTTCCAGTTTCCAAACTAAGCAACACCAGATGCAAAAGAGGCAAAGTGTACACAATGTGCGGTTTTATAGTTGGTCTGGCTTCCAGCAGTTTCCCTCTAACAATGGTCAACTGAGCCTTTAGTACCCTTTAAGCAGGCATTTCCTGAACATGATATACACTTGCTCTTACAGTAAATATGTGCTGTGACACACGAAGCATTTTGCAAATGTGTAAGATGACAAAGTCCCTCTCCAGAAGAACTTAAGAGTTCCTTTATTTTGTTCCATTTTGTTCTAATATTAGTGCAGTGGTTGGAGGGATCATTTAAAATAGCATTTTTCTTGTATGGGTGATCCACTTGATTCATAAATCATTACAATGTCCTGTCCCTAGAACAACTGACAAAACTATAAAGGAAAATAAGAACACAAACCAGATGTTGCCTATTTTTTTTTCACATAACCGATTTTAACCCAGTGAGAGAAAATCCTGAGGAAACAGTTACACATTCTGGGCATTTATTCTTTATGGCTCTCAGAAAAAGATATACATTAGCATTAGATTATATTCATCAGACAAAGCAATTACTCTTCACTTAGAAAACTCTCACTAAACTCGATGAAATGGTTCAAGATAAAATGCATGAGGTAAAGAGCACAAAGTAAAAAGCAGTGACCTAAGCTACTAACTGAAATAGCCACGAAATTATCTCATCTCAAGTAGATAATATTGAAAGTATGTACTTAGAGGGGTGGGAGGGGTGAAAAGCAAAATATTAAAATAACAAGTCAAAAAGATGACTCAGCACATCTTTTGTTTCCTGAACAAAAAACAGTAATATCACCAGTGCTGATCTCTCAGGTGCTTACTTCCCGTAAAAGTCCCTATGCAACTGCCAAAATTCTTGGCTTTCCTATGACAATGCCCAGAATGCACTGACCTCCTGCCACCAAGAAAAATCCACATGTATAATTAAATGAAGCACTGAATTAGTTATTTTCCAATGGTATAAAAAAGGAAAAGTTTGTCTCAATTATCCAGGGAGGGAGGAATGCTGTGTAATTACAGTCTGCCTACTGCATAATGAGGTCTAACACATTGCCTACTATAGATACACCTTGCCAGTATCATGCATTCAATACCACCAGGGTCAGAATGCAGAAGCACTTGTGCAAGTACACAGAAAGCTGTGGACAACCTGAGAACAAAGAGTTCAGATAAGTATGACTGTGTCCCAAGACCTAAAACTTCAAGGTCAGAATCTCACCTCAAAGCATTCCAACAAAAGTCTTGGTAAAGACTTTCTGCAATAAAGGATGGTTTCATTTTCCATCTTGAAAGCAAGTTTAGCTTCCTCAGATTACACTAATATGCTCTCACTTTTACAGAACCAAAGCATGTTTCAGAAGACACCATTAATATAAATAAGCACATCCTAAAGATACTCTGTCTCTGAATTAGCAACTTGCGCAGTAGAAAGTTACTCGCAACAAGAATAACTTGTGACACATTCCTTAAGACTCCTATTAGTAGTACCTTTCGATTCTCCCTCTACATTTAGAAACAAAGGAATTTTTCAGAATCTAGTCAGAGTCCTAAACTTCAGCTGCAACTTTAGAAAGTCCACGAAAAACACAAATAAAAAGAAACAAACCTTTCAGCCGCACTGGCAAAGCAAACGGGACATGTTGCAGTGCATCCAGCTTTTTCACACTTCCTATATTTCTTCTCTGATGCTTCATCATCATCATCTGCTGCTTCAGCTGCTTTCTTCTTCACCTGATAAAAAATAGCTGAAATCTGACCGGAATTGGAGCAAATACATCTTCTACAAAATGGCATTCAGACAGTTTTGCAGCTTGTGAGTAGCATCAAACAGTTAAAATAATACTAATTAAAATCTTTGTATCCATTGTAAAATAGCTGCAGCATGAAACAGCTGTCAAACTAGGTCAGTTTTTTCTACCAAAAAAAAAAACCAACCCCAAACCCACAGTAAGACTGGAAATATCATTTAAAGCTAAAAATGTCTTGCCTTAGTCTAATTGATGCCATTGAAGTAATTATAAGCAAAGCTTACAGTTTAAATCATATTTTCAGCTCTATCACATGCTATGAGTCAAGCCTCATGCATTGAGTCTATTTCTCCTTCAGAAAATCTCTTCTTTACATACTTATTGATACTAATCAGTGGCAATCCTATCTGTGCCTCAAATAAAACATTAGGGTAGGCTTGGGACATATTTTTTGATACAAAACTACACCAAATGTCTCATCTGGGCCTCAAAGGTACTGTGCTTTGTGTTGTTTTAGGCCACTGTCTGGATGGGCAGATAGCTTTGTCTTACTGGACAGAGATCTGCGATTGTATTTTTAACACAGCAAGTATTTACAGGTTATACTGAGTATTTTTCTTTTCTGAATGTTGTTCACAAAATGAGACACTTTGACTGCTTATTCAGAGAATTAAATCATCCTCTGTGGGCAATTACCCTAAGGCCAAACTTATCCACAATGAAGCCACTTTCTTTATAAATGTCAACAGAAAATAAAAATGAACACCGTACAAACCCACATGTTTTTAATTATTATAAATACCTGTCTTCCAGAACTCCTCACAGGAAGGTTGTCGGGAGACTGATCTGGAGGACATGCCTTTTTTTTCGTCCGTACCCTTCCAGTTGACATTGTATTGTTAGATCTGGGGAGTAAAAAGAAAAAGTAGGCAGTAGTTAATACAAAAATTTAAATTGCTTGACTGTGCAGAGCTGTCTAATCACCTGGGCAGTACAGCTACTCATAATACTACTTTTGACAGAGTTACCTCTGAATCTGTTCAATGTGACTATTAACTCCAGAGGAAAGTGAGAATGAGGCATTACGGGAAAGGAACAATAGTACTATTTTAAACTAAATTCAGAGTTAAGATTAGATCCTTGATTACATCTTGACAGGCTGTTCCAGATCAGCATATCCTGGATTTCAATAATCTGATTTGCATTACATGAAGACCTGGACTGGAATTTGGGTTGGCAAAGTGAATAGACATCAGCTCAATGCTGATGCAAGCATCCAAATACCACTCAGAGTAACACTCATCCTGCTAACTACTGATTTATTGGTAGCGAGAGATTTGCCCTGCAAAACACTTTTCCAGATGAACAATCAGTTCCAAGACTTACACACCCTCCTATGAAAGTTCATCAGAATTTAGTCTAAACTCCAGTTGCATTGCAGTTATGGGTGATTGGAATATTATAAAATTCGTTGTTAAGCATACTATAGGAGAAAATAAAAGATTTACAGCACAAGAGAGTTCTGTAGCTCTGTGACTAGCCATAGCTGTTCCTTTGACTAGGAACACAGAAAAGACCACAGTTCATCATGTAAACTAGAAAGCACAGAGTGTGAGAAAGTGTGCCACAGAAATATGAAAGCATATTTAAAACGATATTATCAAAGGCCTTTTTTTCACACGGAGTAGAGCACAAAAAAGAGAGCCTAGAGCAAGAATTAAATATAAAAGTGCTCTACCACATACAGAAAGGAAGTGGAAATAAACCCCTTGTACTACTGCACTGCATCACACATGTTATCTTGTTGTAATAGAGATCAGTTTGTAATTATGTTTCTTTTTTTTTTTTTAGTATGTATGAGACGTCTCGATTCTCCCTCTTCCAGGATACATCTTCCTTATTCAAGCTGTCAGCAATGGACAGAGCAACAGTATTTTTGTTCAGAAATTCTTCTAGAAGGTAATAGGAGGAGAGTATAGGAATTTTTACAAAATTTGAAATTAAGCTGATGCAAATCAAGTAAACTGGAGCTTCATTCTCCTTTCGAGACAGAAAATATTATTTGGGAGAGGAAGGAAAATCACATCATGGTATCCACATAAGTGAAAAATGAGTTCAGACAACCCAATATAAATATAAACTTTGTTTTTGCATGCACCCCCTCTAATTATAATTAGCTAGAGGGAGGAAAAAATAATTAAGTCGATCTGTATTACCTAAAAAAAAAAAAAAAAGCATCACTTCACCATAACTTCCCACTGTATGGGGGTGGACAAGGTTGGAAAGGAAAACCAGCCAGTTTCATTTGCATGAGATTTCCCTAAACTGCTGCGTTACGCCCCAGAAAATGGTGAGGTTTCTCCCCTACAGCTTTCCTTCTGGATCAGTGGCACAACAGTATCTCTCTGTGTCACCTTAGCTTCTGGCACTAGACAGTTGTTCCAACATGCTGTTGTCCTTATAGAGGCTAAGAACTACCTTAGTGCTGAGCAAGGCACGAGGTGACTCATTTTGGTGACCACCATGTGATCAGAGTCTGCTGCGAGGCCCTTTATTTAAGAAGGTAAAAGAACACGCAGCTGTTTCATTGCACGTATGGGGGTTAGAAAAACTGGCGTCTATCACTGAGGAGTTCAGTAACAGTATTTCAGATTCAGAGAGGCCTCTCATTTTGAAAGGCAGAGACCAGTTGTACAGAAGCACAGACATTTTTGCTGTAAGCACTATGGGAGGGGAGAAGAGGGAGGTGGGGAGAAAGGGGGGGGGGAAGAAAAGAGATAAGCTTAAGGCCATTACTTCCAGCTGTAGGACACTTTGTCCGCGCTTCCCCTCCCAAATCAAACAACACCCCTAAAAATCCACAAATTTTTAGAGAACAAGCAAATATGGCTTACTTTACTAAGCTTTACATGACTGTATTCTATCCTATAGACATTATCTTACTGGCTGAGAAAATAAGCCCTTTAGAAGGAGACAGAGAGAGATGTATAATATGCTGTCACATTCGATAACGTTTCATCCATCCGTAAAGCATGGCCTATATTGGAAAGCTTTGTGGGGTTCACCTGCACAGTTGACAGCAAGTTCGTCTTTGGGGAAGGAAAAAAAAATCGAAAAAGAAAGAAACCACACACACACTGACAGAAGAGGAGAGGAAGCGAGAGCAGGCTGATTAACACGGCGAGAGGGGAGCACGAAGTGCTCACACCTTTAAAACTCCGCCC